CCCCCCAGTATTGGTTCAAGTGGACACAATGTCAGTGGACACAATAATAACCCCCAGCATTGGTGTCAGTGAACATAATAAACAGCCCCCAGCATTAGTGACAGTGGAAGCAATAATAAAGCCCCAGCCTTGGTGTCAGTGGATGCAGTAATAGCCCCTAGCATTGGTGTCAGTGGACATTATAATCACCCCCAGCATTAGTGCAGTATGTCGCAATGCACACTGAAGAAGTTGGAGTGCAATAACCCCCAGAATTGGTGTCAGTTGTCATGTTGGCAGCATTAGTACCAATAACTAATAACCCCCAGCATTGGTGTGTGAACATATTAATCAGCAAAAGTGCAGTGGAAGCAATAATAACCCCCATATTGATGTCAGTGGACATAATAATAACCCCCAGCATTAGTACCAATGGACACAATAATAACCCCCAGCGTCTGTGGCATTGGTGTCAGTGACACAATAATAATTAAACAGCACCCCCAGCAAGCATTGGTGTCAGTGGAAGCAATAATAAACCCCAGCCTTGGTGTTAGTGGATGCAGCAATAACCCCCCCTTGCAATTAGTGCAATGTATGGCAATAATACCCCCCCAGTATTGGTGTCATTTTCAGTAATAATAATCCCCACATTGGTGTCAGTGAACATAATAATAACCCCCAGCATTGGTGCCAGTGGACACAATAATAACCCCTGGATGCAATTAACCCCCAGCGTCAGTGGACACATCATAATAGCACCCCAGTCTTGGTAGTTGTGTCAGTGGATGAAATAATATAACCCCCAGCATTAATGTCAGTGGATGCAATAATAAGCCTCATTGGTATCATTGGTATCAGTGGATGCAATAATAATAACCCCCATCAGTGGTATCAGAGGATGCAATAATAACCCCCAGCATTTGTGTCAGTGGATGCAATAATAACCTCTATCATTGGTATCAGTGGATGCAATAATAACCCCCAGCATTAGTGTCAGTGGATGCAATAATAAATAATCAATGCAATAATAACCCCAGCATTAGTGTCAGTGGATGCAATAATAACCCCCCCCCAGCATTTGTGTCAGTGGATGTCAGTGATGCAATAATAACCCCCAACATTGTATCAGTGGATGTAATGATAACCCCCAGCAATGGTGTCAGCCGCCACAATAATAGCTCACTATTATAGCTCACAATAGTACTCTTAACCCCTCCACTTTGATGGTCAGTGGCAGTAAAAGTTTTTCCCCCCTTCATTAGATGTCATGGTAGTGGAAGTTAACCCCTCACCACCCTGCATTGGTAAACAGTGGTGGTGAAAGTTAACCCTCCTATCCAGGGCTGCAGTTAGAAACCCACGGGGCCCCATACAGCCAACCTGACATGGCCCCCCCCCCCCCAAAGAAAAACACTGTTTACTATGCTTCGGTTAAGAATGAACACAGTGGGTGATGGGAGCCGAGAACTCACTGTGTTCATTCAGGAAAGAAAGCTGGTAAAATGTGACATATTTACGGGACCCTTCCACCACCCTCCACCCTGAAGGATCCTATTGTGTGCTTGCAGCTGCTGGTAGGAAGGAGAGGGGGATAGCTGGCAGCAATGTGGGGGTGGGGGGCACACAGAGGGGCCAGAGCAGCAGAGGGAAACATATGGTACACAGGGAGGATGACAAGGTGCGACACGGGGGTAATTACTGGAACCAGTCCTCTGTATGGCTCTCTCTGCAGCAGTTGAAAGCCAGTGGGAGGGAATGGAGAAGCCGGCTTTCATCTGCTGCAGAGAGAGCCATACAGGGGATCAGTTCCAGTAATTGCACCCCCACCATGCCGATCACCCTCCCTGCCTACATCTGATTCACCAAGTTTCCCAGGGCCCCCTGCTGGCCTGGGCCCCCAAACAGAAGGACTGGTGGTTACCCCCTTATCCACAACCCTGCTCCTATCCCCCGTCCTTCATTGGTGGTCAGTGAAAGTGTTGAGCACCAATGCTTTAGAGGGCCCCAGAGGGACACCTTTGCTCAGAATGTCAACACTGCACTTGATTCTAGGGTAGGGTATCAATCACTGGAGTCCACCTAAGCTCTGTCTGCTGTGGAACAAAAGGGGTCTTTCCTCTCATGTCCTTCTTGGTAGTCATCCCGCCATGATGGGTGACTATTCATTCTATTGTCAGATCCATACTTCATCCTCTGCACACAAATTAATTTATGGTACAAAGGCAAGAAACCAGGACAGCGCTCTTCACCCAGGAGGAGACCAGAGGAAATACCTTGAACAGGGGCGGACTGACCATTTGGAAACTCGGGCACTGCCCGAGGGCCTGGGGTCAATAGGGGGCCCCATGAGATGCCCCTGGTACCTTTTTCATAGGCTTTTTTGAGTGTGGGCAAGGACACAGGGGCCCCATGATCCCCTATTGCCCGGGGGCCCCATGAGTTGTCAGTCCGCCCCTGATCTTGATCCTTCAGTTGCTCTTCTGAGGATAATGAGGGATCCCATCCTACAAACAGCCAAACATACCTGTGTGATCTGTCTACTGAGCAATTGTTCTTATGAAGGATTGTTGTACCTGGTGAACATGCATGTTTATAGCTATACAGAAGGGAGGGGGTACTGCATGGGAGTGTCCTGTCACAATGGAGACTGCAGTAATTGGCTGAGATATAACCAATCGATTCTTTAGCCAAGCGTGGTCAGCCACCAGGCTTGTGCTGAGACCATAAATAGATGGACTGGGTGAAAGTTCTTTAACCACCATGTAATGAGGGGAGATATCTAGATGATGCTTGCATCATCCAGATATCTTTTTTTTTCAGCCTTTGATTCCCTGCAATGTAAATCCAAAGCCATCCTAGCGGCTCAGATTGCTTTTACTGGCGCTTCTCCATGCTCTCCGTGTGACCAGGGAGCCGGAGGCAGCACCAGTTTACCATAGA